AGTGTAGCCAGACAAGCCTCATGTGATAGACCTCTTTGAAGCAAAAACTTGTTGAACGAACCAGTGCCACCAAGGAGCTTATCTACAGCCAAAAGCAGCATGTCACCTGCACTTGCGGAAGCCTTCACCAATGCTTGCCACAGTGGCCGACCATAGCCGCAAAGACGACCCAGATCTTCAACTTGAGCAAGCAGAAGGCCACCTGTTTGTTCGTCCGATGGCAAGTCTGCCAAGAAAAAGCAGTACGCTGGATGTGCAACTAGCTTTCCCGCCGCAGCCACTCGATCGCTACTAAACCCTAAACCGGATGCCTTATTGGGCGGCGCAAAATTGTTTAGCCTCCCGTCTGTGTCGGTGAACATCACCGACACACTTCCATTTTCAGGCAACACCCTGGAAGCTCTCCTTGCAGGAACAAATGCAGCAACAGTTGTCGGATCAGCATGCCAAGTAAACCATCGGGCTTCGTCCATGACAAACAGGACCTTCAGTTTTCCTTTGGCAGGAGCTGGAACACTCGACAGTAGACCTTCAAGCGTGTTGTACTTCTTAAACACCTTACTCTCCCAGATGCCCCACATATTGGTTTTCTCGCCAGGCTTCTCTTTCAGGTCGACGTCAAGGCAATTAGCAAACTCCTCCCGGGCTTTGTTTCCTATCTCCATCTTCGCCTGTACCACGTCCCAAAAGTTCTTCCCAACCATGAGATCGTTCAAGAACTTCTTGGCATCCATGGGGTCCTCCCCGGAAGTCAGATGCAGAAGAGCCTCGATGCATGACACAAAGTAGTCAATGCAGAAGAGCATGAACCTGCTCTGCGACAAAAGCGTAGGACCCGAGCTGAGCAATCTGACGGCGTTTGTGTAGAAGAAGTCCGCAAAGGCAGACCTTGGAGGGTACGCGGTGCCAGATGAGGCAAATGAGCAGTAGATGACGAACACACCTAAATTCGCAAGCTCGCAGGTAGTCCTCGACTTTCCCCAGCCACTCGACTGAACTAACGTGACAACAGGTGCTATCATGGTTTTCTTCGTCTTCCACATGTCTCCTGTTTCTTCCAGCTTCTCACGCAACGACTCCACGTTGTCTAATCCCCCAACTCTTTGGTACTTCTGCGCAAATGCCGATTCGGCAATACCCTCCACTCTTTTCCAGTATGCAGGTGGCGGCTGGAGGATTTCAGAGAGCTCGCGTTCCAGTTTCCACATATCCTCCTGGAGTTGACTCGCCCGCACTTTCTCTGAGGCTATCTGCTCCTGTAGTTCGGGATCCTCCCCGGCTTCCCACAATTCGTATTCAAGGTCTGCAATTCCCGTAAGTGCCCCCAGCAGACGACGTTTCACATCAGCAATCGCACCTGTTTTAAGTCGCTTTATCTTCCCCTGCTCTCCCTCTTCATCCGGCTCTCGCCCACGCTTTCTAGATGAAGAGGCAGCCATAGCTTGAGCTTAACCCTACAAAGACCTCTCCCGTAAAAACCCTAACATTAAGTACACCAGCGGCTGCCCTAACCCTAACCCTAATTTAACTTTCATCACCCCAAACATCATCCTGTTTCAGTCTATCGCAAGGCCAGAAACATGGCAAAGGCGATGCAGATCGTCAAGGGGTGGTGACTTGGCAATGATGGCACGATTACATGGCATTTCTCTCTTTCCACTCCCGTCCGACTCTGCTTGTACTTATAAATATTATGGAGTTAAAGTTCCATCCAAATATGTATATGTATAGAAGCTTAAAATAATGAATGAAAAAAAAAATAAAAAAAAAAATTACATAAATGTTGTGGCTATATAGATAGAATAAAATTTTGCATATTTTTTATTATTGTGGAAGTCCAAAGTATCATGGAAGCTAATTTATTTAGATACATTAATATGTCTAAAAGAACTGAATTTTATTTTTTATTAAGTTAGTATATCTTCTATTGCATTTATCTTTTTTTACATATATATATATATATATAATCATTATGTAATAGTATTAGGTAATTTCTAAAGATATTGTTGATTATTAGCTTCATTATTTTAAAAAAAAATTCATATCCATCAACAAAACTATAGATTATATAACCTCCTACTAATTTTTTCAATGACAAAAAAACTACACTACATTAACTAAATCCATTACACACCAAAATTTAGACTAGTTCTAAAATTGATAGCAAACTAAAATTTTAAAAATAATAAATTCTAGCTATTATGTTATAAAAGATTTTTAGAACCAAGATAAACATATCTACCATAACTCTGATATTTTGAAACTTAAATAGAAGTTTCCATTAAATAAGATTAATTTGTAAAAACAACAAATATAGTGTTTTAAGATAGTTACTGCATAAACTCTATATATACTGTATTCTTATCTCTGTTATATACTATAGACATTCTATACATATTTATAAAGTTATCACCAAAAACCAAGAAATATATTATCTTTAGTTCTAAATAATATGAAAATTCAAAATTTAAAGAAAGCAGAAGATTCAAGTATAAAAAGCATATCCAAATATCTTGAGACAAAAAAAACAAATTATTTGCTTGCAATAGCATTAAAAATGCATGATGACATGCAGGCTAGTTGATAGCATTCACAAGAGCTATTGATAAACTTTGACGGGATTTCCAACCAGAGAAATGGCTATTTGTTCCAAACCCTGATCTAAGCTCTCATTATCAAAAACTATCCCCATGATTTGTAAGTGAAAATAAAGCCACTTGACTAAGTACCTGCTGGAAGCCCTCACAAGTATCATTTGGCTGGAAGTTGCACTTTGCATCCTTTCAACAACAATATCGAAGCAGACTTAACCGTTTAGGGTTTAGGGTTAGCTAAACCCTAAACTGGTTCTCACAGCTCTTCCATAAGGTAATGGTCGTCTCCACAAGAATACAGCACAACAAACAACACCACAAATCTGCCAACATCAATATATTTCCAGCTAGCGGCAAGTCTCTGTGTGTTCCTTTTTAAACATTGCAAGTTGCATCCATTTCCTGAGTAGAAGTTCCACAATGTTTCAGAGCTGCTTTTCAAGTATTTATCTCATGCACAAGCAACTCTTCTTCTTCCTTCTTCAATGAACAATTGCAAGCAGTGCTACAGAACGGAGCTGCTCCATCATAACAATGATAGCATGGTCTGCCTAGCTGCTTCTTTGAAATGTTTGACTCTGATTGCTACACAAGTGTGCTTTACTATGTTCTGATATCTTATAGTGTTATTACTTTTTAAATGCTTGTTCAGATTTCTTTATATTTGCAGTTGAGTACTGGCTGTGTATTGATACCTCCCACTTTGAACAGCACGTCCTGTAAACTCTGTATTATTATATAATATAAACTATTTAGGTGTTACATATCACTCACATGAACACTTACCATTCTGGAAAAAGTGACAACTGTTGACTTCTCTAATTGTGATTATGCCTTTCCTTTGCTGAGAAAGATCTCTAGTTGCATCATGGCAATTGATACACATTTTAATGAATTTTAAGATAAGAATTACTTTCTCAGGTTTAGTATGCCCAAAAGCATACTTTAGACATTTTAATTTGCTGTGCATACAACCTCCATACTCTGTCAACTTATTTTCCTTATTTCCACATCTCAAATCTGGCCAAAGTTCATGTACTTTGCCATTATCATCACTCCAGAAACTTAGTCCTTGTTTTTTCAATGCCTTTTTTTCTTTCCTTTCACGTTCTGTCCCTTGCTTTTCTTTAAACATACTTAATTTTTCATAAATATCTTGCATCATAACAGCAGATGCATCAGTTTTATCAGCTTTTACAATAACTTTAAATGCTAACTGAGCCACTTTAAAATTCTCAGAATTTGTTACAGCCTGATAATAGTGCCCTCCAAGCCGAAAACATTTTTTCAATATTTTTGAATGACATGCTATAAATAAATCATTTTGCTTCTTCCATGTGTTATTTTGAGCTAACATATTTACCATACAAATATAGTCTTTATCATTGGGAATTATGTTATATTTAGACATGCATTTAAAATATATTTTACACTTCTCAACTATATAGCAGCAAGCAGTAAGTAAATTAATAAATGTTAGGCATGCACAAGATTGTGTGCCTTGCCTAAAGGGCAGTATATTCATCAGAAAATTTCTCAAATGGCATTGGGACTAGCCCTATAAATCTTTATGGAAAATGTGGTAAAATCAATGTAGCATTGGAGTTATTTAATAATTTACATTTTCCTAGTACAGTTGAATGGACTGCCTTAATTGCAGGGTATAGTTGCTCTGGAAATGTATCTCAAACATTTAGATTATTTTGGGAGATGTTAAGAACTGATAAAAACTTGTGAATGTAACTTTTATCCAGGTACGTAGTCATGCAGGGATGATAAACAAAGCAATAATGTATTTTAAATTAATTTTTCAATATGGGACAATATTAGGCATGTCGAAAATGGCTAAAGTTTTGGTAAAAAAGCGTTTGCTGCTTTAATTAAGCGGCTGAATCCAGGATAGTACGGCAGGCTCATGAGAATGCGGCTCGAGAATGCTTCGTCCATGGGGCCGCGCGAGGCGATCTTGGACAAGAAGAGCTCCGTGAGAGATTTCGAGAGCTTCTGGATTCCTATGCTGGGCGATCTCATGGGAGGGGATTATCACCACTACAGTTTAGAGGTACGCAAGAATCTTAGATTTTTTCTCTTATTTTCTAGTTTCTTTTGATTTGCTATGTTCTTCGTGGCTGTTCTTCCAGCTTTGCTTATGAGTTTCTTGCTTTTCTTGCCATCAAACTTTGGTGTTGCTGGTCGGGATTTCTTTTGGTTTTCTCGTTGTTTCCGTGCTCGTATCTTTCATGCCTGATCGAGTCTGATCTTGTCGGTGACATTCTTTATTGTTTCGTCCTCTCCATCCATCGCGTTCTTATATCACGATCGTGCCAGGTTTTTACATGGCTCACGAACAATCCAATGGTCCTACTATCGGCCAAGAGACCGCAGCTCGAGCAGCTGTACGCGACGATGATCTCTTACGCCGGAGTCGTTGGGAGCCTGAGGCTAGCACGAATCTGGTTCGACGATCTCAAAGGCAAGGGGCTCAAGCAATCGACGAGGTGCTGCAATGCTCTCATCCTCGCCTACGCCAAGAAAGGTGACGCTCAAACCGCGGTCTCCATCCTCGAACAGACGAAAGCCTTCCGCAAGGGGTGCTCGCCAAACGCAGTCACGTACTACATCCTCATCGCCATGTTTGCGAGTCTGGGTGACTCGCCAGGCCTCGCAAATCTCCTGCGCGACAGCGAGTGCTCGAGCTTTCGTTCCGACGCCATGACTTACAACACTCTCCTCTGCGGCTACTCGAAGATGGGAATGCCGGAGGATTTCGACAAGACACACGGGGAAATGGTGGAGGAACTTAGCGAGGAGAGCTACAAGGCGTTGCTCGTTGGATACTCGCGGCGGGATCGTCTCGACGAGCTCCAGTGCTGTGTGGGGGAGATGCTAGCCAGGGAGATGAGTCTGGCATCACCGGTGGTGGCAGAAGAGATCGCCAAGGCTTACAGAAGAAATCGATGGGTGGAAGGATTGGACATGGTGATCCAGCTCGAGGAAAAGAGTCCTGGGATTTCTCCAACGTTCCAAAGCTTTATAAATGCTTGCGATGACGATTTAGAAAAAAAAGGAGGAGATAAGTTTTTACTTTTTTTTCACTACAATCCATGTGATTAACTTTGAATACTATTTTGTGCGGTCTCTTCCAGCTTTTTCCAGAATATGGACTCACTGGCTGGAAGGATTTCTTGAAAACCATGCTGCTGGAATTCATGGTACGTGGCAAACAAAAGCTGCAATAAAAGAAAAATCCCAACAAGAATCCAACAAGGGCTGCAAATTGTAGAAAATTGACTGATACCACTAGCATTCTCTAGTCAATAAGAACGCTGACCAGATAATTCTGGAAATAGATAAACCCTAAACCTAAACCCCGACCTTTAAATTTAAGCTCGACGTGCCGCCTAGACAGCAGCACCGTTGACCCCGCAAAACCCACCGTGTTCCGCCCACGGCCCCCCGCCGCGCGTCCCCGTGCACCTTGCAGCACCCCAGCAGCGTGTTCCACGCCACCACATCCGGCTGGAACGGCATATTCCTCACCACGTCCTCCGCCCGCCCGGCCCGCCCCAGCACGTCCACCATGCACTTCCAGTGGTCGGGCCATGCCGCCAGGCAGTGGTCCTCGACCATGGACACGAAAAAATGCCGCGCCTGGGCGAGCAGGCCGGCATGGCTGCACGAGTTGAGGATGCTGACGTAGGTGACGCTGTCGGGCTGGACGCCCTCGAGGTGCATGTCGCGATAAAGGAGGATGGCATATTCGGCGTGGCCGTGGTGGGCGTATCCCGCCACCAGGGAACTCCACGTCACCGTGTCGCGGGCTCTCATGCGGTGGAAGGTGCGGCGGCGTCTCCCATGCTGCTGCAGCGCGCGTACATGCTAACCAGCGCGTTGCCCAAGGTGACGTTGGTCGTGGATCCTGCGAGAATCTCCGGATTCGCGGCGCATAGCTCGGCGTGGATGCGCTGCCCCTCGGTGAGCTTACCCAGGCCGGCATGAGCGCACAGGAGAATGACGGCCATGATGCAATCGGGCTTTAGAATGGAGTCCGAGATGGTGGAGGCCGAGGTGTTACTGGAGTCCGAGCTCTTCACACTTTTTGTGTGCAAACTAGAGTCCGAGCTCGCAGAAACCGAGCTCCTCAAGCCCGACTCCATGGTCCTCGAGTTCCCAGCCTTCATCTCCGAGAACAATGCGATCGCTTCCTCGTCGTATCCGTGCTGCACATAAGATCCCATCATCGTGTTCCATGACACCAAGTTCTTCCTCTCGATCCTATCAAACACCCGCCTTGCCTCCTCCAGGCTGCCGCACCGCGCGTACATGTTGATGAGCGCATTCTGGATCTGGATCTTGAGCATGAAGCTGGAGGATGCAACGCGAGCGTGGAGCTTTCTCGGGAGGCCGACATCCCCGACCAGTGATCCGGCGTGGATTACGTTGAGCAGCACCACGCTGTCCGGCTGGATCGACTGCCCGACCATCTTGTCGTAGAGCTCGAGAGCTTTGGATCCATTGCCGTGAAAGGTGTAAGCAGTGAGCATGGCCGTCCAGGACACGACGTTCTTGCCTGGGATTCTCTGAAAAATCCTCTCGGCGGCCTCTAGATCTCCACACTTGGCGTAGGCAGTGACAAGCGAGTTCTCCACGCTCAAATCCGGAGGAGAGTGCACCGCGGCGAGCTCCAGCTGCGAGTGGATCCGCTTGCACGATCGCAAGCACCCAGTGCTCGAGCAGGCACTTAGAACTCCCAGAAAGCTCACGTCGTCGGGCTTGATCCCTTCCAAGTTCATGCCGTGGAAGAGGCCCATCGCCGCGCAGGACTGTGCGCTCACGGCAAAGGCCGCGATCATGCTGTTCCACGAGACCCTGTTGCGATCTTCCATCCTCTGGAACACCGCAAGAGCTTCCTCCGTGCTGTCACCCTTCGCGTACATCGAGACGAGCGCATTCTGGATCGTGATGCTGCTGTGGAGGCCCAGGTCAATCACGGCGGCGTGGATCTTCCTGCCCATATCAAGAAATTCCCTGCTGGAGGACGCAGTGATCGCCGCAACGAAGGTCACCGGATTGGGCTGGACGCGAGCTTGGATCATCCCCTCGAGCGTCTCGAGCGCCTGGCGGCAATCCCCAATCTGGGCAAATGTGGTGATCATCGCAGTCCAGGACACTACATCCTTGGGCGGCATCCGATCGAACACCGCCCTGGCCTGCTCGATCGCTCCACACTTGGCATACATGTCCCAACGAACACGCTCTTGCGGAGATCCGGGGAGAGAATTCTCGCGTGGATGGCCCTACCCAGCGCGAGATCCTTGGCGCCGGAGCACGCAGCCAGTGTGCTCACGATCACCATTTCGTTAGGTTCCACATCCATGCGCTGGAAGAGTTGATCGCCTCGCGGCAATGCCCCGACTGCGTAGGCCGCGATGATGCAGCTCCAAGACACCACATCTTTCTTGGGCATCTGATCGAAGACTGCGCGCGCGGCCGCGAGGCTGCTGGTGCCACCACATTTCCTGTACATCTGGATGAGGAGATTACACGCTCCGGAGGAAGTGGCCTGTGACGAGGATGTGATCGTGGACACGGCGGCCGTCGGCGAGCGAGCGGGAGATGCCGCAGCGGCGGAGGATGGATGCGTAGAGGGCCGCCGATGGCGATCGCAGCTGCGAGAGCGCATCTTGGATAGATGGGAGCACTCGCTTGCCACATTCTTTGCTCATAAGCCCTAGAAGAATCCTCAATATAGAAAAACATATCTTTTTAGGGTTCTTCTTGGAAGAGTAGGGTGGCGAAATCGAATGGTGGAGGATCTGCAGATCCCCGACCAGCAAAGAAGCTTCCGCTTGGTTTTTGAGTAGGTACATTTTGCCCTTGTCTTTGTGAAACTTGTTTCTAATATCAACTTTCTTTGCATGCAGCACCGGCTTGCACATTTGTGTTTATAATTTATAAACGTTCCTAAACACTTTTTAGTATATTCTTGTTTATTCTACCACCTAATGTAATAAAAGGCATGCAGCAAATTTTGGTTTGAGAAAGAGCGATGGCTATATATTTAGAACCCCCCGAACCTTAAGGAACACATGCTTTGGGCATTCACCCTTAGTACCAAGAGTTAGTCTCTAGGACAAACTTGAAACTTACTAAATATGGAATGTCTTTATATTGCGAATTTAGACATAGGACGAACACCATTGTGTTCAGAACAATCTTTACATTCCGTAGATATGCCAAATGAGCGAATCTAGACACTTTCCATAAATAGCATTTGGGACCGAAATAAAACTAACACAAAGGGCATGATAGAAAGGGTGTTTAGTAGACATGGTAAGCTATCATCTAGGGATATTGAGGGACCAAACTCAATATCGTAAAGGTTCTTGATACTAGTAAGTGCAAGCCAATGACACAAGTTTCTCAAACTAAGCCGAGTATGCTCAACAAGAAACACATAGGGTTCCTACCTTATGTTTATCCAATTTAAGTGCATTGTTATTGACCAATTTCTTGCTATCCCATGACTAAAGATTTTACCACACACAAAGTGTTCAAGTCAATTTACCTATACTGGCTCAAACTCAAAAATCAATAAATGGACAAATCAAAGTCAAAGACAATGATAATATCTTAGAGGTGTCAGGAATCCCCCAATTCTTGCCACATTCCTGACTTGCAGACCACATTCCTAACTCTCAAGACACTTCCCTATTCCTGACTCTCGAGATACTTCCCTATTTCTGACTCTCGAGACACTTTCAGATTCCTGAGTCTCGAGCCATATTCCTGATGATGATGTGGCGCCTCCTCGACCTCAGCTATATTTAGGCCGTCCTCGATCCAAGAGTGGTGGAGCTTCATCAACCTATAGTATATATAGGTTAGCCTTGTTCCATTTCTCCACAATCTGAATCAACGCCAGTCTAAGGCCTCTTCTTTGTTTCCACTAGTTTTTTCTCTTTGTCTTTTTGCATTTTCCAGTCTTGATTTTGTCAGGGGTCTTGACAGTTTGATTCAGATTGTGTTTTTTCATTTTTTGATTTAGCTCATTTTGATTGTTTGATTACCTTTGCCTTTTTTTTCCCCCTTTTTTCTTTCTTCTTGCCAATGGAGTCTCCAAGCCATCCTGATTTCTTTGCTGAAGTCCTTGCAAAAATCCAGTCTGAGAATACTGAGTTGAAGGCGACCCTTCTTCGCATGCAGCAGGAGCTTGCTTCACTTTCGGCTCAAGGATCCAACGAAGTTCCTGAACCGAAGGTGAGCTTCCCGGCGAAATTTTCAGGCAAGCGTTCGGAGCTTCGCGGATTCCTGAACCAGATGGAGTTGATCTTCGCACTTCAACATCGGCGGTACCCTACTCCCGAGTCTCAAATCGGCGCGATTGGGACGTTGCTCGAAGGTGCAGCTTTGTGTAAGGAACCGACTCCCCGAGATGTCGTAGGCTAAAGGATCCCCAAAAGCTTGACCGAAGTGACAAAGAGTTCATCGGATGGGACCAAGTCGAGGATCGAGTCCAAGACCGACTCTAGGACCGAGTTCGAGATAGAGTCCGGAATCGAGTCCGAGACCGACTCGGGGACCGAGTTCGAGTCCGAGTTCGAGACCGAGTTCGAGACGGAGTCCGAGATCCGAAATCGGGTCCAAGACCGAGTCCGAGGTCGAGTCCGAGGTCGGGTCCGAGATCGGGTCTGAGATCGAGTCCGTGATCGAGTCCGAACCCGAATCCGAAGTCGGATCCGAAATCGGGTCCGAGATCGAGCCAGAGACTAAGTCCAAATACTAATACGGGTCAAGGGGTGAAAGCCCAAAGCGTGCGTCTCCCAGGGGGGGGGGGGCTGTAGGGGGTTCCAAAAGTATAGTAGGGATAGTGAGGTCCAGGAACCAGTTTTGAAGGGACTCTCCAGTTGGGCTTCCAAACCGACTTGAGGTTGGGATTGGGACCGAGGGGCCTTGGGTGGGAGTGAGCATGGACTTGGCTGGTGCCGGAGGGGCCATCCAAGGAAGTGCTCAAGAGCAGCTCCCACTCCCGAAAGGGAAACCGATTGCGATGCTCCCGGCTCATGTGGAGTGGTGCCCCACTTGAGTACCATGCGGCTCATTGGTCCTCGCCCTTCCTAGGGGCTTGGGCCTTCCTTCGGGATGGAAGTGGGGGGCGAGAGGTACCCATACCGGGCCGCTAGGCCACGGTGTTTCGCCCCGGCGTCCCGAAGCAAGTGTTGCACTCAAGACTTGGGATTTAGAGGGTCCCATGATCAAGTCTTGTGGTACCAAGGGATGTTAGGAACCTGGAAGCTTGGTGTGCTTGGCTGCTTGTGCTTGCGGGGAGTGTAGCCGAACCTTAAGTCCAGTCTAACCCGGGGAGGGGGATTGGGAGTGATTTGGGAATCCATGGAAGGATGGCTAACACTCCGTTGCTCGTGCAGTGAGTAGCTAAAACCAAGTAGGAGCTGGTACCATAGGCGAGAACCTTGGCGAGGGAACTTAGCAAAAGCCAAGGCAGTGTTGGACGGATAGGCGAGGTAAGCTGGCAAAGTGGAAAGGAAAAATTTGTGGCTTACAATTTGGTATCGGAGCCTTCTCCTCAGTTCTAGCGAAGGATAGAGGCGGATTGCTGGGAGATGGCAAGGGCAGGGCGTAAGTGAACCCAGGCGGAGACAGAACCTCCGCCAGAGCTGGAGCCTCCGGTCGAACAAGAGGCTATGGATGAGGAATCCTTGCATGAGGAGGACTCTAGTGAGGAAACTTCCAAACAGGAGTCCGGTGGCGAGGTTCGGTCGTCCAAGGCTCGATTGGACGTTCTAGAAGGTCAATTGGCGCAGACCAATGCCCTGCTGGAGACTCTCGTACGCAAGCTAAAGCGTGACGAGAAGCGAAAGAAAAGGCGAAAGACTGCAGATGCTGGCAGCGCAGAAGGTGCGGACCCTTCGGCAGGGACTGAGGCAAAACCAGACAAGGTCGAACAGACCGAAGTGGAATCAGTCCCTCAGGCAGTTCCCAAGTACAAACCAAAGCCCCCACCGGTGTTCAAGGGAGTGAACGACTATAAGGTTGTGGAGGATTGGTTTTACGATATGGAGGACTACTTCCGAGCGTTACGGTTACCGAGCTCGGAGAAGGTCCCATGTGCAAAACCATACTTGGCAGATAATGCCAAGTCTTGGTGGAGAACAACGGAGGCCAACGAAGGACCGGTGGCCACCTGGGACATGATGAAGGCGAGGATCCGCGCGACATACGTTCCTCCGAATGCCACTCTGCATCTGAGAGATGAGCTGAGTAGGCTGAAGCAGAGTGGAACCATCCAGGAATATGTGAATGGGTTCATGGCAAAGAGGATACTTGTCACGGACATGGGGGATATGGATGCGTTCCATGCCTTTATATCAGGTTTGCAAACCTGGGCTCGCGGTGAGGTGATGCGCTGGAACCCGACCAACTACAAGGAAGCGTTGGATGCGGCCATCAAGGTGCATTTCAACGATAACCTGCGAAAGGGGAACACGACGGGGTCGGGATCCACGTTTCACAAAGGGGCCAAACCGAGGGGAACATATAGCAGGGGGAAATTCAAGAAGAGTTTCTCTAAGAATGAGTCCTTGGGATTTCGGAAAGGCAAATCCGGTGGCCAGCGAGCAAGTACGTGGGGGAGTCAAGCGAAAAGAGACAAACCCACGGATAAGAAGGTCAAGTCATATAGCAGCGTGGGAAACAATGTATGCTATAACTGCGGTGAAGCGGGACACTTTTCGAGGGAATGTCCCTACCCGAAGAAGGCCAGAGCCAATATGGCCATCAAGTTGGGTGAAGTCCAAAATGAGGTATGTGATCCAGTCCCTAACTCAAAGTTACTCATTACACGAGCAACTTTGGTAGAGAGTCATTCGCGACATCTACTAGCCCTCCGAGGGAAGCTCGGAGGTAGCTTTGTTAAGATCCTTATTGACACGGGTGCTTCGGATAATTTTGTGGCTGCAGACATAGTCCGGCAAGCCGGACTAACGGTGCAGCGGCTAGGCGAACCAAGGACTATAGAGTTTGTTCAAGGTAGCCAAAGCACCGATGAGGTACTTCGACAAGCGAAAGTCGAAGTAGGGACATGGAAGGTAGACATGGATTTCACCGTGTTGGACATGGCGGGATTTGACGTGATCTT